GGTCTAAAATAATATTAAAAAAATATAGTAAATATTTCTTAATATTATCTTTAGTAATATAATAAAAAAAATTTTATAGATAATTTTTTAATACTACTATTTATAACTATAATAAGACTATTATTAAAATTTACCTAAAATTAATTAGTTAGTATATAAATAAAATAGAATTTATAAAAAATAATAACTTACTATTTCTTCTTTTTTTTTTAATTTTTAATATATAATTTTTTTATAAATTTCTTAAGTTTATTAAAAATTAAGTAGATAAATAATAAGCCTTCTAATAAGGTAATATAAGTACTACCCTATAGTTAAATAGAAGGCTTAATAAGAATCTTAAATAAATCTCTTAGAGTAGTAATATTTTCCTACTCTAAAGAAGAAAAAAAGTACTAAAAATAGATTAATATTAGTAATATAAATAAAATAATAAATTTTATAAATACCTTTTTATAATCTTTATAACTAGTATTATTAGAAATATAAATTAATAGTTCTTTTAGCTCTAGAAAGTTATTAACTATATTATAGGTAGAATTCTAATAGGTTAAGTTATTTATAGGCTAAATTAGTATAGGAAAAGAGGTATAATAAACTTAAAAATAGAATATTCTTACCTAAGGAAAGGGTATATATTTTTATAGTAAAATCTAGATTTTTAGAGAATTTCTTAATACCTTCTAGTAATAGTTTTTTTATACTAGAGGTATATTTAACTAATATAACTAGTTTTTTTATCTAGTTAATAATAGCTATAAATAATATTAGTAAAATTTCTAAAAATTATATAAGTTTTTAGTTAGTTATAACTTATTATAATAAGTAGAATTCTTAAATTTAGAGGAATCTAAATATTTATAGAGTATTTCTTTTATATTTTTAAATAATAGGAATTTTTTTAAGATATTTTATATAACTAAATTAATAATATATAAAAGATATTTAAAATTATTATTAAATCTATTTTCTAAAGATAAATTTAAATCCTTTTTAAATAGATCTAAAAATATAGTATTATTAAAGCTATTATCTCTAGTAAAACTATAAATAAATTAATAATTAATATAAACTTATACTTACCTAAAATAGATTTTATTATAATAACTAGGTATTATTATATAGTATTTTAAAAGATTTTATAGATATATTAACCTATATAAATATCTTTAAGATTTTTAAACCTAATAAATAATTAATTAATTATAATTAAATATAATTAAATATAATAAAAATAACTTACCTATTAGCCTATAATTTAAGGTAAAATTGCTATTAATATAGATAATGATTATACCTAAAAAGGCATATTAGTTACTTAAAGTCTAGATATTAAAAGTTAAGGAAAATTTTCCTAAACTTTTAATATAGTTTTCTAATCTTAAATTAGTTCTAGATAAATACTAGTTTAAGTAATTATTAAGAATTAACTTAAAATTATATTAATTTATAATAAGGGAATTTCTAAAAATTTAATTAGTATTTTATATATAATTTTAAATAGATAAAGATATAAATAATATTTACTTATTATAATAAAAGGGTAAATCCTAAAAAGATAGTAAGTCTAGTATTAAAAAAGGAAGATTATTCTCTATAATTAAATATAGAATTTTTTCTTTAGCCTTATTATAACTAAAATTATTATCTAATAAAGAGTTCTCTTTAATATTTACTTTTATAAGAGAATCCTTAATAGAAATAAGTTAAATTCCTAGATATAGTTAGTAAAATAGTTAAATAACTAGAATATAAAGACCTACTTTTTTATAATATTTTTTAGATTTTATATCATAAGTAATAGTTAAATATTTAAGCTAATAATACTTTAAATAATTTAAAGCTTAAAAGCTATTAATTATAGCTTCTTTTTATTATAAATACCTAGAGAAAATTCTAGTTAATATATATATAATTTTAATATACTTTATAAAAATCTTTTAAAATATTTTAGAAAATAATATAAAAGATAAATAACTTATATAGTATATTTAACTAGTATTTTAGCTAGTTAACTAGGTTAAAATAAAAGATTTTACTTTATAAAGAGTTTTTCTTTAAAGATATAAATCTTATCTTTTAAAGAATTATTAGAAGATAGTATACTTTAACTAGCTAATAATTTAGAAATAATATTAGTACTATTAGCCTCTAAATTAAAGAAACTATTATCTAAAAAAAGTTCTATATCTTAACTAGGTTTAGAGGTATATTCTAATATAATTTATAAGAAAATAAAATTTTTATAGAATTAATAAGGAATTTTAAAAGTTATTATCTTTTTTTAAAAAAAAATCTAAAACACTATAAAAGAACTTAACCTATATAAGGTAAAAGGTAGGGCACTTAACCTACTTTTTACTAATAAATTAAACTTTATATAGTAAATAGTCTAATTATATTAAAAATTAAGTCCCTAATTTCTTAAATAGTTTATAATTATTTTTTAAATTAGGTTAAAAAAATAGTTTCTAGAATTATATAGAATCTTTTACTTATAAATTAAGATTATTATAAAAGTTTAAAATATAAATATTTTTAAAAATTTACTTAATTAGCCTAGGACTAGTTAATCTAGAATATTAAGGTCCTACTTTTTTTATATTTTCTAGAATTAGTTATACCAATTTAAGGTATTTAAATTTCTTTATAAGACTTTATTAGAAATATTTTTTATAAAATCTAAAAAAAATAGATTTTAATAATACTAACTAGATATAGTATAATATTTAAGAACTTTATAATATTTTTTTAGAATTATTATATAATTTTATATATAATTTTTTATATATTTTATTTAAAAATAAATTAATATTTATATTATAAATATTAAAAACTAGCCTTACTTTTTCTAATTATTAGACTTTATTAGTCTTAACTTAAATTAAATTACTAAATTTTAAATAAATATTATATATATACTTATTATAGTTATAATATATAATATCTCTAATATTAGATTATAATTTAGACTTAAATAGACTATAAAGCCTTAAAGCTATCTTATAATAGCTATTTTACTATATAAAAAGGCATTTTCTTAGATATCTAATAATTTTATAATCTATTCTTATACTTTTTATAAAACTATTTTCTAAGTTACTTTATTCTTTTTTTATTTTATTTTAATATATTTAGTAATATTAAAGAAAATTAAGTATATTTAATTTATATATATAAATATATATCTTATTATCCTTATATAACCTTAATATACTTAATATATATTTAATATAATTTAGTAATAATATTATATATATATATTTATTTTTATATAAGGTAAAAAGAAAAGTGAAATACTTAATTAAAATTATAATAAAAATATCTATTTTTAGTTATTAATATATTATATATAATATACTTAAGGAAAAGCTATACTATTTTCTATTAACTTTTATATAATTAAATTTATATATTTTATTTAAATTTTACTTTAAATCTTATTTAAATCTTTAATTAATTATAAAAAAATAATATTAATAAAAAGAAGTTACTTTTAATATTCTTAAGACTTAAATAAAATTATAAAATTATAATATATTATTTATAATCAGTTTTCTATCTTTAAAAGTACTAAATTAGTTACTAAAATACTAATTTAGTATATCTATACTAATTAAATTAGTTTAGTATTAGTATAGACTTTTACTAATTAATTTAGTATTAGTAAGATTTTAGATTTTAAATACTAAGACTAAATTAATTAGTATTCATATAGACTTTTACTTACTAATTTAGTATTTACTTAGTATTTACTAATTAATTTCCAACCCTGGATATGAGCATTGACCCCAGGCCACCCGCTGCATGGTTCTAGACCAGTCAGAAGGACGCCAGCTCTCACCCAACCAGTCGGGAGCCTAGGACTGGCCTCCGAGTGTGGACGCCACATGTCTTGAACCTAGGCTTTGTTGGGTATATTTCAGGGTCAATCATCCCAGCCTGGCAATAGCGGGCTATATTGCAAGTCAGACTGGGTTGATTGGTTCGCTGGCTTGAGCTAGGGAAGAAAGCTGCTTCAGCGTGTTGTCGACGCATTTGAGTGAAACCTTATTTTTCCCATCCTCCCTCCCACCTTCCTCTCCCCCCCACCAATGCGGTAGCTATGACACGGCGCCGCAAACGGTTTCTTTGCTTCCCCGGAGCCCATGGGAAAACTTGTAACTCGGGGACGATGGCTTGCCTTGCTTTGCTCAACGTGGAGCCTGATAGCTGGCCAATGGGCCCCAAAAAGCAGACCAAACTGCAGAAGTTTCTAGCAAAATGCTTCTTTTATTGCGAGCAGTTAGTTGACTTTCTAGCCGGAAGACCACCCCCGGACGGGGTTGCTCATGGGTTGTATTCAACATTGAGAGTTTGCGTCATGCAAGTACTCGCCGTCATAATTTTTTGATTAAATCAGTCTTGTCAAAGAACTGGGGATTCATCTGGACTAATAGGATTTGTTTAATGCGGTTATTTAAATATTCTCTACATTCCTCTGTTACGCTTGCATCAAATCCCATCCCCTGCAGTCTTATCGGCAACTTGAACAATAATAGTGCTCTCTCTGTTAGCAACGCACCTCTTATACCAATTCCCATTAGAACAAAAGTCTCTCCAAGTATACATTTAATCTTCTTACGACATCAATCAGAGTCACCAAAAAATATTGCAGCGTCAGTTACAATGTCAAAGTCCACAGGATACGTTCAATCGGAAAACCGAAAGAGAAGCCACATTGATACCGAAACTGGTAATGAGCACGATTCGGAGATGCAGTCGCGCAAGGTCAGTTTTTACAGCATTACAATTGATTCTTTTTTTATATCTTCTAACAGACAATGGTGTGTGTTTCAGATTACTCTGCACATGGAAAATCAAGAGCGGGCCTATGTAGCAGCGTCTCGCCGCACCGACCGTAGCCTCGAAGCGCGATATCAATCCGCTCTCATGGCCAGTGAAGTACACAAAAGGCGAACCGGAAAGGCTCTTCGCGTGACGCACCAAATAGTACGAGACGAGGAAATGTACGAAGAGGAAGACCAGGGCCTGCCCTCACCTTCGCGCTTCTCGCAGAATGGAGATCGTCGCAGGACCTTGTCGCAGACTGATGCATACATTGCCGCTCTCATTGCGAGAAAGTCGGGCATGCAAAACTTTTTTGAGCACAATCATGCCTTGTTCAAATCACCGCCCAACAACAATGCGACGTGGACGGAACAGCCGCCCTCGACGACGCCGGCTTACAACTGCTGTTCGGCACCTTCGGTACACCAACCGATCGGGTGCGAGATTCCGAATCATGACCCCGCCACCTTTTCCAAGATGAATACCCACGCTTCACCAAACCTTTTTGATGAATCAGGACATGGCCTGGAGCATTGCTTTACAGAGTCGACTACTTTTCCCGGCATCATCTCTCATGCCCATACATCATCAAGTGGCTCTTCTTTGAGCGACCTGTCATCCTACGATTCCAACTACATTTTCGGATCTGGCTCGAATGACCGGAATTCGAGCCCAGAGTCTTCTGATTTGCGGTTAGAGGATTGCTTAGTAGGCACGGATGGGGAAGACCTTTTGAACTTTGCGCCGAACGAATTACTAGTTGGATATGATGCGCAATTCAATACTCTGTAAACAGTCGGCCACTTTTATTCAAGTAGCTACTCATTGTATTATTTAACGCCGACTCTTGTGACTCTTGTGACTCTTGTGAGCATCGTAAATACAACCACACACTACACCTCGCATGAAACGCGGGGTCAGATGTATGTGCTGTGTATAAGAGCCTTGACATCGCGCACTCAATGTAGACTCCGCTGAGTGACATGCGGAGCACAATTAATGTGCCTGAGCTATAGAGTACATGTCATCTACTGGGGCAATATCGTGGATTCAAAATGACAGCGCCAACAGCCTCTTATTCCCCATTATACATTACAAGCGTTGTTCTCATCTTTCCAACCACGACCGAGGAAAGATTTGCAACTTGGGATAATTACATCCAAAAAAAAAAAAGAAAAAAAATTGATACAATGCTATGAATAGGTTTCCGCGATCCGTATCAATTGCTTCCGGCCGCATTCATCATTATGCAGTCTCCCCCTGCAGCTTAATGGACCAACATGAGGCCATATTGACGTAATACGGCCGTGCGGCTACAGAACAGCGCAATATTTTCAAATACAGAACACCATTGATTGAGGAACCAGGTATTCCGTAAATACTCACATTATTCATATTTGCATTACAAAGTGGCCGAATCCCGAAACTTTTGCTCACAGCTCCATCAACTACTGGGCCTACCATCCTACATGCTGCTAGTTCTGCTAACTACTGCTCCTCAACAGTTGTAAAAGTTGGAGCTGCAGCTGGAAGAAAAAAAAAAGGGCTCATCTCCGCCCTGAAACCGGGTCGACATGTTCAATCACCGCCTAGCGTCAGGCGGCACAAGCAATAAATAGGCTCCAAAGTCTCGTCGCTGCCGACCATCCAACCCGTACATTGTCCTGTCCATCCATCTCTGTGATGTGCGGGAGACAAAAAGCTCTTTCTGGGTAAAGGCATCCATTTGACAGCAAATTCAATGTTGCGGATCTTACAAATAGGGGATGATGTGGCATTGTTGGGCAGCATGACTAGCAGTAATAGTTCTCAGTACACTGAGTGATGCCCAGTGAAGATCCCTGTTTTAACATCCTCAGCTACTTCTAGTTATTGCAGAGATGATACTTGGGTCCACCACCCATATGAACCGTAATAAGGCTCAGCTTATCCAAGTCCTTTCGCGTGCACAAGAGTTGTGTGTCTCAGCAAAGGCCAGATACAGGTCCCGTGAAGCCCGTGCTTTCTACTCCGTAGACTATTGAAAAATGGACCACCTTGGCTCATTAGTGATGATTTTTTAATTCGAATCACTAGCAGTCAAGATGGATGGAGGCGTGCCAGAAACGTAACAAAATCTTGACCTTCAAGTCTCTAGAGCGGACCCCTACTACATCTCATCTCCTCTTACCCGTAGCCCAGATCGTGGTCCCTATACTGATCGTATGGGCAGGCTCCATTCGTACCTGATGCCAAAGGACAGATTCCACTAGCTAGCGAATTTCTCATATTTAGGTATCGTGGATCTGTCTCCGCCAAGACTTGGAAATTCGGAAAAACTCGGCGGCAAGCAGACTCTTGAATTAGATAGATCATAGACGTAACTTATTAGGATGCTACCCCTCAAAATGAAAATCACTCATGCCGCGCGGAGTAGCCATACTGTGCATACGTGGCAACTTACTCAGTAGTCCTGCCACCTAGTAGTGTCTATCGTCAGCTGCAAGACAATAGCAGTGTATACAGATCTGCCTGTGGGTCAAGACAACTCATCCAACACAGGACGGTAAGTGACGATGCTGATCTTGGAGGAGCCTACTAGTAGTATTGCTGCTCTGCACTTTCCTTGATCTTTTGATCTTCATCTCCTAGGTGGCTTCGTAGCAGTAATAGCCCGCCAGTGGTCACACGGGCCTGCGTCGGATGAAGTGATGGGGCCACGAGTATCGTTTCAAATGCATCCCGCACTCCCACAGTAATCTCACAGCAGTCATTTACTTTGGGCTAAAAACCTTGGTCTGCCTCTAGCTAGTTAGGCTGAAGAGCTTGGAGAGGACAGGAACATGCGCCTGTCATCAAACGTTATCAATACCCAGCAAGGCAATGCCAAGTCCATTGAAATGGCAGCGTTTTGTGATGCATCTTGCAGAAATTTGATTTCATGGAAAGGAAAGAGTTTTTCGCACATGCCGTAACAACAACAGTTGCTGCACGTCAAGGGGATGGCTGGCCTAGGCAGGATGCTTCCTGCACGATTTGCGGAGAGGAATCCTACGCTTGCCGCAATGGGCGACTCGTGCATGTGCATCGCACACCCGCATCCCGTTCTCCTAGCGTGATGTAGAAACATGCCCGAAATGGCGTGAAAGTTTGGAACATGTCTGAAAGACTGGCCGAGATTCACAAGCCGTCCTCTCCATGGCTGCTGGGAATCCGTGGTATTGATTTGTTCACAAAAGCGTGCAGCCAGGCACAAAGGAACAACAAGTGGCGGGTTGCAACAGATGACTAAATAATTACTGCCAGTCAGTCGCCGCTGTGTACAGCCTTACATTTCGGCGCCTTGACGAAGCTAGTATCATGATTGATCGACGCACGATGACCCCTAATATGCCGTCTTTGACTGCCAATTTGATGCACGTCGACCCCTCCCCCTAGACAACTCAGCCGCACGTAGTAGGCTTCGCTTGTTTACTCAGCGAGTACGAGCAAAAGACGCAGCCGCACAATCTCAAATCTTGCTAGCTATAACCCAGTGGATGTTATAATGAATGGCCACATCTGCAAAAATTCCTTTGTCGAGCGCCGGGTCCAACGCTACATCATCCTATGCTAATATACCAGCGACAACGGCTCGAGATGCAGGGAAATCGCAGCCCATTTTAGACGACCGCAAAAAAAAGTTGTGGGCACCCAAGGGTCAGAGCAGGATGCCTCAACTTGCCGGTAAATATTAGCAGACTCGAAAGCGTGGAGTCGACCTCGCATCTTTTGAAAATCTGCTTTGTAGCTAACTAGAGAAACAAAGAAAGCGACATGTGAAATGCGACGAGACAAAACCAGTGTGTCTGAAATGTATTGCAGGCCATAGAGAATGTACATATCTCCGATCTCGCCGATGGAACCGGCGGTACGCCGCTCTTTATATCCGGCGCCGGTGATTGGAACAGCAGAGGGACTATCCCTGAGCAGGTACCTTATCGGCAACGTCATCGTCTTCCTTGCGGGACGAGTTCAACGGCGAACTTTTGGCGGTACTCGCTGCCGCAGGTCATGCATAATGTCGAGACCATCTGGCACGGGAAGCAATGCCATTGCCAGCTTGTCCCTTGTCACACAGAGAGCAGTCGGGTTCAGCAAAGGAGAGCACGAGATGATATTTATTGTCGACGAGGCACATACTCGATATGACGCGGGCACCCGTCATAACCCCCCAAAGAACAAGTCCATTGTCTTGTTGGCAAATGTTCTCTAACGGAGTTTACGTGCTATTCACAGGAGATACTGTTGCCAACATTGTTACTCCACGAAAAGAAACTCGCCGTCTGATACGGCACTGGCAAGTTTTGGGAATGTTACCGAGTCTGAACCGATATCGGCCTTTTGTCCATGTAACTAGCTGCTGCATCACTTTCTCAAGTCGAGCACATTGAGGCAAGAAGGCGCTGTTCATCTCGCCCGAAGCGGCCACGCCAAACCTGGCTCGAGCTATATAGCATGGTTTCAGAAAACGACCCATGACATCCATCACTCGAGCCTACGTAGAGTTTGAGATGATATGGGATCAGCTTTGCTGGCCATTCTGGACACAATCTACCTTTTCGACCGACAAGCAGGGATATCTTGACGGCAGCTGCAGGCCGCACTGTGCTTCGGGGCCACTTTGCGAGCTGGCACAGACGCTATCGAGCTTTAAAAATGGCTACTACGCCTCCCGTTTCTCTTGCATGCTTTCCATTTTCAAAAGTACGCTCTTATCCTAGTCAGCAATCTTGCTTAAAGCTGAAATCTTGAAAGCGGCCGAGCATCTTTGGGATGAGACCATCTGGGATGCTTGTAACCCAGAATTCACCCGTGCCTTTTTTTTATGCTCTCCAGGTGGCTCTCTCGAAGAAGAAAGCAAGGAAACAACAACACGCAGGGCAGAGTTTGACACGCAGTCTTACGCCATCGCTCTCTACAAGGCCCTCTCACCTTTATCGCCAGGAGCTTGCAGGGCACCCGATGCTTCGGCGCGATGCGATTGCCCTCCTGCGACGGCTCTCTCGGCGTGGCGAACCGCGCGGCTATCCAGAGTGACTGGCAACATGGGTCATGGAGTTTATTGCCGACCAGATTATCGACGTGGAGGAAGTTGCATGGAGGGATGATTCTGCCCGGAATGACTATGGCGAGGGCTCAAAATGTGTCAAGGATAGGTTTGTGTGCAAACTGTATCGCGTCGCTCGAGTGCTGGCTCCAAGTGAGATTCCGGAGAGGATCGTGGACTATACTCTCTGGACCACCAGAGACACTTTGCACGGTAGGGAGGGGCACAAGGAAAGTGTGCGAGCCGTCATTTTTAGCTGACCGTCGCTTTAAAAACCAGACAAAAGGTGTTACTTTTAACCCACTCGATCCAAAATCATTCCCAGCCTGATTGTCTGATCCCATGTGATCCCATGTGCTCGTTGCAGTGTCATGCATGTGCCCTGCATGTTCAGACTGGTTGGTTACGCAGCCCGACCCTTCTTTTGTCACTGGCATTGCGATTTCTACAACGATGCAGTAGGCCGTCGCTTGCGTACATTTCATCATTTTGTAATCAGAAGCTAGCAAAGTAGTGGTATCCCCAAGCTCCGAGCAAATGCAAATTATCCGACTTTCCAGTTCCTCCGACTACATTCCATTCCATTATACAATCGTGTCCATTTATATCCGTCATCCCCAAAGGCTAGGCCTAATAACATATACACCCGCTTCACAAGACTCCGCTTTCCCTGCTAACCTCATGATCGCTTGCGATTGAGCGCCTTGACAAACGCCGCCTTGTCCTCCACCGTCAGTCCCACACGCTTGACTCTTCCCAGCCGCGACAGCGCCTCGGCAATGCCATCCAGCACACGCTGCTCCTCCGGGCTCACATCACCACCCGCGTCGCCGGCGCGTGAGCGCAGCTCGCCATTCACAGACGCACCGTTGGTGCTAGTGGCGGACGTGTTGGACTGGCCTTCTGCGATGCGCACTCGGATGCACGTCGTGGGCCGCGACAGCAAGTTCCACAGAAACGAGATCCAGCGGCCCGGCACGGGCGTCGTAACGTCGGCGGGTGTGTAGCGCAGGCTGACGGGGAATATCTGCACGTCGGCCGGGCACGCGAGCAGGCCCGGGCTCAGCGGCAGGATGGCCTTGCCGTTGGTGGTAGTGCACTCGGGGAATACGGCGATTGGGCGGTCGGGGTATCGCTGGACGAGATCGCGCAGCGACACGAGCTCGCTGTCGGCGGGGCGGTGGGTGCTCGGAGGCGCGAGGGCGGCGAGGACGGCGGCAAAGAGGCCGACGCGGCGGACCTTGCGCGTGCCCGGGTACGAGACGGTGAAGATGGGGTCAAAGATGGCGGCGAGGTAGACGACGTCGACGGGACTCGTAAAGTTGGCGGCGATGACGGTGCCGCCGTGCGGGAACCGATGGCGAGGCTGGTCCGCGAGTGTGCCGCGCTTGACGCCGTCGAGCTGCAGGTCCACCCACCAGATGCCCGGGATGCCGAGCAGGCACCACAGCGCCACCTTGCGCGCGATGACGGGCAGCGGCAGGTGGTGGAAAAACGCAAAGTAACCGACCGCAAATGTGAGAAAAAAAGGCAGGCGCAGCGCGAAGATGAGGCCGTGGTAGGCGGCGCTGACGGTGGAGAGCGTCGTCGTGACAGGGAGAAAGGGCGCGATACCGGTGGCTGGGGGGGGGGAGCGGGTTAGCAAGTGAGTATGCATAGGGAAAAAAAGCGGTTGATTCTCACCCCGATCGCGATATTGGCTAAACTTTTCCATGGTTTGAGCGCGGCAAGAAGCTGTGGTTGTGTTGGTGGCGTGAAAACGAGAGGAAGGGAAGCTTGGGGCCGTTTGGCGTTGTTGCGTGTTCGATTTCCGGAGGTGGTGGGGCCGCTGGCCGCGATTTAAACTTTTAGGCTTCAGTGATGTCAAAGGGAAAAAAAAGCATGTGATTGACGACGGGTCATTAATAAGCCAGGCTTCATTGCGATATCAATTGATAACACATAGGATGATATTGACAGTGGCTGAAAGATGCGGAAGCAGAATGGCATCATTTTCCTCCGCAGCCAATGGGCAAGGCTGGTATGGGAGGGTGCATGCACCTTGCAACGAGAGGAATTGTCTAGGTTGCACGTGTTGGTTGGCTTTTTAGCGTCATGAGTGCAGAAACGTTTAACTATTTCCCGTCATCATTTTCCACCTCGCAAAGGCTGAAAAGGCTGGTGCCATGCTTATTCCCTGTAGTCTGGCAACTCTAATACGCCTAGCAAGGAGCGATGTCTCTTCCCTAGCCTAGGGAGTCATTCTGCCGCACTGCAACTCAAAGCATCAAATGCATTCTATCGTCACTGTTTTTTTTTTTTTCAAAGACAATGAGAGGTTGATGCAAGCTCAAGCTGTTACGTGAATCTAACAAAACACTGTGATATAAGATCCGATGTTCCAGCTCGTCATCCCCGCAAACGCCGGTAACTAAGTGTTTTGGCACGCTTACCTATGAGGTGCACAGGACAGGCAATTCAATTGACGCCACGGTGAAGAGGAGCCCTCTACGGATACGTGTTTCGAATGAAGGCTTGACAGCCTTGTCGACAACGACGAGAGGTTAAAGGCACATGGCAAGTTGAGGCATGCAATGGCGCATTTCGCAAGCATGACAATCGAAGCCAGAGCGCATATGACGGCAAAAATGGAACGGACCGAATTCAATGGCAAAGACTGTAGAACTGTACCGTCCATTTATAAGCACTTACGACGTATATCATAATTATCGCACTGAACTTGCAAAGATTTGGACACGATGTTGCGAATATTGACACAAATCGACAGATCAATCGGGATAGCAATGGTAGTCACAGAAATCATGCAGACAAGATGCATCGTGAACAATGCATTCCCATACATGCACTCAGTTCTGCGACACGACGAGCCGGTGTGGTGTGGAAACGGACTCAAACGTAGTGCTGAGCGTTTGCCAGCCAGCTTCATGGTTGACACTGTGCTAGACAAGCAGCCGGGGCCGAGGGAAGAGTACATTCGACAAAGATGACTGCAGCGGCTGAGGAGTTATTGGTAAATGTCTCGGATGGTCAGTCAGCTGAAGGATGCTAAGTGACGATCCTCGATTGTTGTCGCTGGCATCACGGCAACACGGCCCACGGATGGCGAGATGTGCGGCAGAATATGTTGACACGAGAGAAAAATGAGAGACATGCCGAAATTTCGAGAGCGAATTAAATATGCACGGGGATGATCAGGTTAGTAGTGTTTTGTCTAGTGTGTTTTGACGTAGGAAGTGAAGGTTGAAGAAATTATCAAGATAGTGAGGGGGAACGGAGGGAAAGCGAATAATGGAGCCCAAGTGCCTCAGCGCTGATCCGTATTGCTGGGTAAAAGAAGGTGGATCTGGGGGCGAATGGGGGCTTTGTTGGGGTCCAGAGTACTCCGTACCTGGAAGACCTTTGCATAACGTATCCGTATGCAGTTAAAAAAAAGTTGTGGTAAACGGGCATAAGAAAAGAAGGAAAAGGAACACCGCATTATTGCACATCAGCTGCGACAGCAAGACGAGGCATCGACTAATCAAAGGCAGATGGCCACGCGTACTGCTACCCAACCTTTGTCATATTGGTCACATGGACCCGGGGGCGAAGGTAGACTTTGTCGGCGTGGCGTCCAAAGCCTAACCAGGTCGCAGGCGACAAAGTATTTGCCCAGCGCGAATACGCTGAACAGTACTCAGAAGCCACATCTCGTTGTTAGCGTATCCGAATCGTGGTCCAGCCGATACATCTGTACTTGGAGAGACTCCACCAGCCCAAGTCACAGGCAATTAACGGGCAGTCCACTGAAGCTGGCACCGAGCGCACTGAACAAGTCGATTTACAGGGCTTACCCGCTGTAATATCCATTAACACCTCTACTGCAACATTTGTTAGGGCATCTGTTAGGGTGCCATTGGGCGCGCCGCGTGCCAGACCCGTCCCGCTCTAACAAGCCTTGGTGGCTCATTATTAGCCTCGCGGGCGGCCAGCAATGACAACATCGTCTCCGCCTGCACCTACCTACTGGAACTCTCCCGCTACATTTCCCACGTCGGTCACATACAAGAGTAAGCATCTCTCCGCCCATCTCTCCCATCTCCCATCTCTCCGCTACCCCCAACAATTTGTCCGCTCGACCCGACATCAACATATCGTCCTTCTTATGGCCTCACGGCCTGTTGTGCATACATAGAGTCGCTGCGGCCATCAACCAAATCATGGCCTCGTCATGCCCCTCAGCAGGCACCGTGACGGCTGCCTTGCTCTGGTCTTTCCTGGCCCTCGCTCCGATTCCCGCCCACGCCCAGCTCAACGCGCAACCCGATGCCGCCGATATTCTTCTGCCTCCAGGTCCCGCCCTGCCGAGTAACTCTGAGGCACTGCAGCCTGCCCAACATATCTTCAGCCTCCGCCAAATCTTCCACCATGGCACCAATCTGCATCCTGCGCTGCATCGAAAGCGCGACGTCTCCCACAATGATTTCAACGTCTTTCTCGCGGCCGAGGATGGCTATGCTCGACACACTCTGCCAAAGCTCAAGGCTTACAGTCGCGTCGATACTATAGAACGACTCCGCGATAGAAGACCGTCTGTTGTGGACCCCCTCGTCACCCAGTCGAGACGGCAGGGCTTCATGGCTGCCATGGATGCCTCGGCCTGGACCATGGACCCGGTCCTGTCTCCTGACATCACTGATAAAGACACTGTTCTCACCATGGCTTACATGTCTGCCGATGCCTATGTCGAGGATGAAACTCAGCCCGATTGGGAGGAGGTTGGTGCTCCCTACAATAAGACGCTCGACTTTGGATGGCAGAGCGACGGCCTTCGCGGGCACATTTTCGCCGACGAAAATAACTCGACCGTTGTCATCGGCCTCAAGGGCACCACTGCTGCTGTCTTTGACGGTGATGGAACCACGACCAACGACAAGACAAATGACAACTTATACTTTAGCTGTTGCTGCGCCCAGCAGGGCCAGTGGACCTGGCATCAGGTCTGTGACTGTGCCTCGGGAACCTATCAGTGCAACAACACATGTGTCACCGAGGCCCTGTGGGAAGAGAACCGATATTACACCGCAGTCAAAGAGCTCTACCACAACGTCACAGATATATACCCCAAGGCCCAGATCTGGCTCACTGGCCACTCGCTCGGCGGCGGCATGACGTCTCTGCTCGGCCTCACCTATGGCCTTCCCGCCGTTACTTTTGAGGCTGTGCCCGACGCCCTCGCTGCCTCTCGTCTAGGTCTTCCTATGCCTCCAGGATACTACGCAAAAACGCCCCAGATGCGAGCATACACAGGAACATATCATTTCGGACATACTGCCGATCCTGTCTACATGGGTAGCTGTAATGGTGCCACAGCGTCTTGCTCCTTTGCCGGCTACGCACTCGAGACGCAGTGTCACACAGGCTACGAGTGCGTCTACGATGTCGTTGCCGATAAGGGCTGGCGCGTCGGTATCGGCACGCACAAGATTCGCAACGTCATCAGCGACGTCTTGCTCAAGTATGATGAGGTGCCCAAATGCGAAAAGACGCCCGAGTGCCGCGACTGCGCCCAGTGGAAAATGTACGAAAGCAACGGCACCGAAACCACCACGACACCGGCCACGTCGACTTCGACACGTACCAGAACCCGCACCTCGACCTGCAAAACGCCCGGCTGGTGGGGCTGCCTCGACGAGACGACAACTACAGATTCCCCAACATCACCACCGACGACAACGACTACCACGTCCACTTGCAAGACACCCGGCTGGTTTGGTTGCAATGACAAGACTACCACTACAGATTCCCCAACATCAACGCCAACTACGACTACCACCACGTCCACTTGCAAAACGCCTGGTTGGTTTGGATGCAATGACAAGACTTCCACTACAGAACCCACCACCACAAGCTGCCAGTCTCCGGGGTTCTTCTGGGGCTGCAACGATGCCACAGAGACGAGCTCCGTCGCCACGAGCACCCCGACACTGACTCTCACCACTCCTCCTGCTACTTTTACCCCAACCCCCACATCCGGCACTGCGGCCCCGACAAGTTCATCTACACCCGATAAGAGTAAATGTCTCCGCCGTAGCTGGCTGGGCTTCTGCAAGGGATGGGGAAGTGACAAATTAGCCGAGTCTGACCAAGACATTGAGTTGTAAAACTCGCGGGACAATATACATATAGATAGAACAGACATGGCTGATGGTATGTCATGCTATACTGCACATTTTTGGTGATTTTCATACGGCTTAACATTTTCAGCCTACTTGGATAGACGAAGACGGGCGCTCGCATAAATGCAGCTTGCGCTCATGGCGTTGGGATACTGGGACTTTTTGATTGGCACTCATGGCGCGCGTATTTTATTTCACTCGTTGTTCTTCTTTCCGTCTTTGAGTAGCTAGACAGACTGGCGTTTTGAATAGATGTACATTTGATATACCCAATCGTGTAAAGTGCAAGCCGCCATTCGACATGGAAGCCCGCAAGGGAGTGTTACTTGGATCATGTAACAAAACATTTGTTTACTAATCAAACATCCCGAGCGTAGAGTCGAATTATGTAAGTTACATCGCTTACAGATGGCGGTAAACGTACGTTGGCGGCTGCCATTGCCCAAAAGAAATTAAAGTCTGGCATTACTACTGAAAATAACTATTCATTACCTATTCTGGTACCTAGATGATTGAATAGTGCTAGTTTGTAGTATTCACGTATTTCTAGCTATGACTTCGAACCGCCTTGTTAGTTTGGTCGACTGACAACGTGGAGTCGCCAATACTATTCCAAACAGCGCATCAAACAATAACGTAATGAAAAAGAATCACTCCTTTTTACTTTCCCTATTCAATCGCATATTAGGGCTCAAAGACTCCTCCTTTAGCTGTTTGTCCCACAGAATGAACCCCTGTTCCACTTGGCTCGAAGAAGCATCTTTGGTGTCGTTACCATCTTCCTGCAAAACGTCCCTCCCGCAGGCGTACCAACTCGTCAAATTTTCAAGCGCGGCATAGTTACAAGGCTTTTCCAGAAACACCTCCGACCTTGCAACACACGCAATTGGCCAGGAACTTTGTTGAATCGGTCGTAGATGATCTCCCAGATTTCCCTGCACCGGGTTGCCGACTAGCCTGGTCCCGTCTATATCATTAGGAAGATTATGTGTGCGCCAGCGGCGGACGGCGGTTATCACCTTGGTGTCTATCATGTCTGAGCAGCAATGAAGCTGGTCAAAATTGCTCCTCTCCGCTTCAGTCAGATGCTGAAACGCGGAGCAGAATTCATTCAGCTCGTCATCTATGGTCAGAGTCTCCGGCACGACAAACATTGCCTCCTCCTCTATTATCCTCGTGCCTCGGCTGATGTCCCTGAGGGCAAAGAGGCCAAGGCCCATGCTTCCAGCGTCTCGAACCTCCACCAGGGTATTTCGAACAATTGCTGCTGTCTTGGGGTCGGTCCACCGTAGGAAAGCGCTTTGCTCTGCTGGGTGTAACATTTGACTCGTATCAAGCTTGCTGTTTCGCTGCTATGATTCCAGCTAAAGTATCGGGTAATTGAGCAACAGAATAATATTGCGTCAAATTCAAAAAAGACTACTTGATTTGTGGCAGATTAGCCCTTACCGGCCTCTGGTAAGTTGGAGTTCCTTTTAAACCATGTTTCTCAGTGTGCCAACGCACCTGCCCAGTCTGACACGGCAACGGAGGCACCAGTTGACGAAATCTTCCCGAAAACAACTTTTTCCATTTATTTTATACAGTAGTCATACAATTTCTAATAGTGGATTGATCCCATTCCCCTTGGTCTCGTGCCCAAACGTGCATCTGCGAAACTGTGCAACTTTGATGTGCACATGGGGTCACAGGCTGACGGCTTTCTTGCAGTCATTCTTCTAATGGCAAAGACGCCGTCCAATGCGAATACCTAGCTGAGCCTGAAGCAGTAAAGACGTGCCAAGTCCTAGATCTGACCTTTACTTGGCGTGCCGACCCAAGAGACTGTGCCAAGTCAGCCATTCTGTCGACAAGACCGTCCGGAAACGGTACATTCGCAGACTCACTTGTGAAAGGTTTGTCCAATGATGCCTTGTTTGGCATGCTGGTCGTGAATGCTATTGCGCCGCGTTGCGGCATCATGGCGATGCTGCGATAATCCCGCGATGCCATGCGCTCCGCTGCTGTTCTGTGGCACTTGTTAGCAAGAGTCGCCAGCGCCATCAACCGCTTATATGATGAAGACGTACGCTAGTCTTCGGCTGCAGCTGTGCAGAAGTTTCGGCTGATTTAGTGTTGGAATCCATGTTTTGCTTCTCTCGATTAACAATATGTAGGCTTGTGCAGACGATACGTACAGTCTTGATAAAAGACGACACATGGTCATCTATATACTACAATGGCGAAGCGCACTAATTGGATGGAACAATCCGCATCGAGAAAATTCCAAATGGTTTTGACCGATCGCCGTCCCCCAAACTCCTCTTGGCTAGATCCGCGATGTAAAGTCAATGCTGGGGGTGATGAGGGCGCCAAAGTCCACTAGCTGCGCATCGCCGACCCGTCCACACGTCATTGATATGGACAACCGCAACCAAAACTTACCTCGATTTCCACCCACTTATTCCCCTTTAATCATCGACACTGACTAGCTCCCGACGATGTACGGCATTTTCCACAGCCGCCCATGACGCGCACTGGCTCCCTAGCGGCGGTTCAACGTTCACAGCAGCACCTTATAACGTGTACCGTCCTTCTTGCACGATAGTTGCCTAGAAGCCTTTATCCGCAAAACTCAAACCCCGCCAACAGCACATTTCAAGATGAATACTCCTCGCTGCTGCCGACCGCTGTCTCGTCATGCCGCCTCCCTCGCGCGACAACAGCGCCGCTTCCTCGCCTCGGACGCGCCCACGCTCTACACCGCAACCGCCACGACGCAGGGCCCGCGCGGCGGCCAAATCGACGGTAGCGAGGGCTTCCAATCTGCCTACGCCATGCCAAAGGCGCTCGGCGGGCCCGGCGGCCAGCAAAAGACAAATCCCGAGGAGCTCTTTGCCGCGGGCTACAGCAACTGCTTTTCGGTCGCCATGAATCTGGCCGCCAACAGCATGAAGGTCCGGCTACCCCGCCAGATTGAAGACTGCCAGGTCAAGGCGGTTGTGGATCTCATCGGCGATATTCGAAAGATGGACATGGGCTTCAAGGTCGGCCTGGAGGTCCGCGTCAAGGGCATCGAGCAGGGCGAGCTGGAGGCGATTGTGCAAAAGGCAAAGGAGATTTGCCCGTACCATCGCGCTACACACGCGCAGGTGGAAACGAATATTCGGGTATTTAGCGTTCAATGATGGCTTTGCAAATACGATTTCATGAGGAAGCTGGCTTGTTGCTGACTTGAACGGTGCATGGTGCTAAAGAGAACAAGTATTAGAAACTCGTAGTAAGAGAGCTACCTCGCTGCGAGTGAATTCTCACTGTTTTCCAAAGGCTCTGCAACTCGACTTTCTTTTGAACCAAATCGATTGATGATGCTTCATTGCTTCTTGATGTCGCCAAGCCGAAGGGCTCAGTTTCTGACCTTTGCCCACCAACGCATTGCACTACATGCTCCATAAAAGACTGCATGTTGAGATTCTTTCGTTATCGGGAAGAAGCTGACAACAGTCTTCTCGAGCTTCAAGTCTTGATTCATCGGACGGTGTTGTTGATGGTCATGACCATACTGTTTCGATGGCGAGCGCCGAGGCCAGCAAGGGCCGGCCTGAGGTAGGTGGCAAGCGCATCGGGTATATCTGCACCTATAAGAATTCAGTTTAGAATTCGGAACACGGTTGAAGCTACATATGCGCCACGCACATAGGGCAGAGCCTGAGCCAAGAAGTGACAGTAAGACTGAGATCCGGCCTGTAAACACTACGACCGCCCCAATTCAGTCACCGCAAAGCCATGCAGCAGTTTGTTCCTTCTCGAGCGTGATCTCAGGTGTCATGAGAAGCGCATTTACCATGCAGCTCGATAGTCAAATGCGAGCTTACGATGAGGTTTGAACAGGTCTGATGCGCTCACTATGCAATGCAGCGTGACCCACCGCACGATGACATGTTATAGGGAAGTGCAAGTTCATGATCTAGACTGAAGAGCCAGCATTGTGCATCTGGAGATCTGCGGCGATGGTCAGACGTTACCTCAGGTGGGCATCCCGACGAGAAGACCACAGCGCTTCATGCCGCCAGGGAGTGAGCTTCATCGAGTCCAAGCGCGAAGTAGTTTGTGTGTCTACTGGGTATGGCCGATTGGCTACGATTTGGCATAGTATGTTGGAAGTCCAATCGTGGTGAGCCCCGTGCGATCCTGCTGGATCGAGTAGAGCGGCAATAGCTGGATTGCGCATTGCTCGGATAAGCAAATACTTCTCAAATAAATAGACAAGGAATCTTCATTGTAAGGAATATGCATGTGCGGGCTAATGATGACCATGTCAAGTGTTGCTCGTAAGGTCGTCTTTTCGCCAATCGGGTTCGAAGGCAAGACGGCATTCGACCTGAGCCAGGGTCTGCAAAGTGACAGGAGACAAGATGTCCCGCTTCCCCGTCCGTGCAGGTGTACACAATGAGATGTCGAAGAATGCGGGCAAGGATGCAAGCTGGTGCCATGCATGTTGCACTGTCACGAAGAGACAAGGGTCTTTTAACTCCAAGCGAGTCATTGGGCATAGTGACCGTGCATGTAAATAGGAGCGGGAAAAGTCAACTGCAGCAGAAACCGCGCACATGTAAAGGAGGCTCGCATACGGAAAAGCCAGCGACCGTGTCGCGGCGCTATGGGTAGAATCGGTCGGGGTATCGCATGGAGAAGATGCACTCGGGGTGTTACATTGAGGAGATACACCTGCTTGAGAGAAGGTTGCATGCAGGCGTGGTATCTGCATGAAAGCGGTGGTGTGCTCCCTCGGCCGCCTCAAAGAAAAGGGAAATTAATTGCGCACATCACAGTCGTGTTCTCGTTTAGTTCTTCGATCGAGTTTCTGTATGAGCAGCTATCACGCCGCCGACGGCGTGGTAGGCAAGCAGTTCATCCGAGGTAAGTCGCATCCATCTCCGGAAGACAGATTGCCGCTGTCAGCCCTGCCAATTGAGACCCATTGCATCGATACAGACAAGCAGGCTATGTGCTGAATTCGGCTACGACAAAAAGACTTGGCCTGCCGGTGGGGGGGTGAGAAAGAGGGGACCGCAAACAGTAGGATCTACCCGTTGTCTGAGCGTCGGTGAGAGAGCTGAAGAGGGGAGATGATTATTGGACAATTGAAAGAATTTTCGCCAAGGTGTCTTGCCACATGCACAAGGAGCCCTGACTTTGCGGACCCTTGAATGAAAACGGCGCGTGCCATCAAGATCTCTCTGGTGTCTCTGAAAGACGTGGATGCGTGGTTGATCGAGACAAAACAGCCCACCCTTGCCCATATCAGCAGCATGTGCTCACTGTCCCCTCTCTGTCTTGAGTCAGTTGAAGCGACAATAAGGGCAAATTGATCAACTGACGATGAATAATATTATCCCAGTTCGCTGGCAAAATTCGACGACAGGGTACGGCGATTCTGGCATGTGAAGATGGATGGAGATGGTAACGAACAAGGGTATGATCCACAAAAATTTAGCTGAGGCCCGATTTAGATTTTGCCAGCCAAGAAGATTCAACTTTCGAGGGATGGGATGGGTCTTCGGAAGCAGCCTCCGCGAGCGATTGGTGGCACTGAAAATTCAACGCCTGGCCTGATTCGAAACCTGGTCAAGCCAAGTCTCGTGTGATGTCGCTGTCCGACAGGTGGAGATTCCGGTCTCCGAGGCACAACTATGTAAGCCTTGCACAATGTTCAAATGATGATAATAATTGCAATAACCGCTCTGCAAGCCCTTGGCGGCTAGGGCCGGAGTTTTCCTCCTTCATTGGCGCGTTTAACTACCTTGTTGGAACATATGCATGCGGGTCAGACCCAACTTTGCCTTGGTTCTGCTCATGTCCGTCCTGCTGGGCAATGCCCTCTATTGCCTCTCAATGCTGATAGACTCGGGGTGGGTGTCTTGAAATAGGTTGAAGAATGAGAATGAAAGCTCATGGCGGTTGACGTAATACTGGTGCGACGATCAAATGAGTGGCGGCGCTCAGCTTAACCAGGACTGTCATGGTTGCGGATGTCGATATCTGACGTGCCAAGATGGCAAACATGTGGCGAGCAATTTCGCCATGTTAGAATCAGGCTTAACATGCCAATGTCGTGGTTCCGGTTGCTTTTCGTAAATAGAGTTTATGCTAGGAGCTAGTTGGCTGGAGGATACCTGTGACTATTGCCAACTAAAACACGGATAGTCGATGTGCTGCTGCTTTGTGACGAAACTACGACATGACCCGGCCCTGATCTGACAGCGGTGACGTGAGTCAAGATTGATGTGTAGCCCAGGATAGGAGGCTGATGCTGTCCTGATGATGGTGCGGTAAGTATGGTGTTATCGGCACACGCAGAGGTACACCACTAGCTCTGCCATGGCATGGCACTGATACATTGACGTGCTTATCGCTGCAAGCCACAACAGGACAGCGTTGCACGGTCGTATTGGGATGCAAGAGGTTGGCATTATTAGCCATATCAGTACAGTAATTATGCTGATTATCCACGTCGACCCTCAATTGAGGAGGTCGGCAGAGCTGTTATCGTAGGGATACAGCCTACTCCGCGGCAGATGATAAGTGCCTGTGATACGATAGTGACAGGGAGATGTGTCGTTGCAACCCAAGATACCTCGTACATCCATCAGTCGTAATAGAGGTCACATTGTAGCAGGCGCTATCGCTGGCAGGAGGTATACGAGCCGTTGGTAGGTCGTGTACATATGCTCGCCTCTATTTCGAGTCTGTCCGACAATTTCTCGTGCGGGACAAGGCATTCCCCTTGATGCTGTCTCGTCGAGGCCTCGGAACTAGTGGCGTATGCAGACAAACGTACCCGTATGGCCCCTCCCATCCGAAAGTAATGTCGCAGCTGATATCGTGGCCAAAATGGTTGGGCGAGGAGAACGCGTAGAGCACAGGCTAAGATTGAGGCAGATGGTGGACCCGTTCGCGGAAAAGGAGTGAGCGCAGGATTTGGAGGGCAAAAGGCTCTCTGGACTCGAGTTAGCTTGGATGTGCATCATTGTACTAGCGTCAAGATATGGAGCGTAGCGTTGAATGTAGATTAGATGTTTGGATGAATGGGAGCGAGTTGCCAGGAAAAAAAAAAGGGTGGGCAAGCTTTCACATGCCAGAATCGCAAGCGTAGGCAAGAATGGTGTGGGCGGAGAGTGGGCCAATCAAAAGTCCGGATTGGCCCACCCCCCGCCAGCTTCAAACGGACGCTGCCAGCTGGCAGCCCGTTTGGACCTCTTTGACCGACCAGCTGCGAGGACTGCTATCAATGACGAACGTAATGGCTACACTAGCGAATGGGAGAGAAACAAAGGAAAAGGAAAAGAAAAAAACAGAGAGCCGACATACAATGTGTAATGATGTGCAAGACAAGAAGAACCGAGAAAAAGAAAAAGCAAAGAACAATAACAGGCACCCGCCACAGATTGCTGCATGGTGGCCACTATCACATGCGTGGCACCCACCAAAACGTAACCACCCCTGCTCGAAATCAAGAAACGGTCTTGCACCTATCGACGAGTCAAAAACAGATAAAGTCCTGCCACACACGTCTCTTGTCCGTGTGACGATCCTTTTCTTCCCTCTTTCCTTCTGCTTCATCCAACACTGATTGATTTCAGGGAATAAGACTCGATTCCATCCTCAATCCCAAGATACCCTTCACCCACCACCATCACCACCAAGTACCAACACCAGTACCAACACCACAGAAAATCACTCCACTACAATGGCTGTCGCTCAGGTCAACGGCAACGTCGAGGGCTCTGTCCCTCAATCTGCTTTCCTCCAGGTACGCGCCTTGTACCAGAATCCCCACGATACCTTTGACAACTAACAATCCACACAGCACCTCCTCAACTACCCTATCATCTCCGACACCGTCAACACCGTCTCCAGCACCGTCAACTCCAACCCCATTGCCCAGCGCTCTATCAAGCTTGGCGACTCTGCCTACAAGACCTTCGCCGCGCCCATTCTCCCCTACTTCTCCAAGCCCTACCAGTACGTCTCGCCGTACGTCCAGCGCGCGGACTCGCTCGGCGAGCAGACCCTCACCCGCATCGACGAGCGCTTCCCCATCGTCAAGAAGCCCACCACCGAGCTCTACAGTGACGCCAAGGCCCTCGTCTTCCTGCCCTTGAACAAGGGTCTGGAGGGTCGCGACCACGTCTACGAAGTCTACAACGCAGAGTCTAAGAAGCAGGCTGAGAAGGGCTACCTGGGCCAGGGCAAGGCTGCTGTTGCCACCCTCTTCCACGTCAGCAACGAGACCCTCGCCCTCGCCAGCAGCTACGTTGCTGTCAAGAAGGCCGAGGTGACCCAGGAGGTCAAGGAGAAAATCAACCAGTAATTTTTCTGGCCATTTTTCTGTTTTCTTCTTGTGAAATCATTATGGGCTATGGCAGTGTCTGGTTGCCTTGTTTGTGGCGTTTTTTTGAATTCGGCCCCAAGAAATGCAAAACCATGTCGAGATATCCCCACTCCGTGCATGGATGCATTGCATCATGGCGCCTTGGCTTGGGATCTTATGTTGTTACTTGATTATCCTCATTTTTCCTTGTTCGAAAAAACCTTTGGGATTCATCGGGCATACAGTGCTTGCCGGTTGTTGATTGGTTTCCGTCTTTTCTCTTGTGGCCACCCCTTTCGCAGCCCGATGGCTCGAAAACAGGCGCAAATGCATTTGGCCTCTTTTTTCCCTCTTCTGTTTTCAAATTGCATGAAATGGCGATGACTTGGATGACACAATAAAAGCGAGTTACCAATTGGACGTGTTTTATCTATCTTTAATAGACTCTTTCTCTCTCATGACTGCTCTAAAGGTGTGAAATGCGATGTTGTAGTTGCGTACACTTGTTCATTCTGAACGCGACCGCCCAGACTTTGCCTGGAATCGACACTTTGTCGAGTCAGCGCTTTGCATTCGGCCATCTACCACATCTCGACAAGATTTTCTGTAGTTTTTCTTCCCCCCCCTTGAAACATGTGAAAATGTTTTAGTGCGGCCCATTGTCCCTGCTTTTTTTCTTCCCAAGCAGGCTTATTCCCAAATTAGTGCGCCCGCGCCGCGCCGAGCTCCTAGTTAATCACAAGCACCGGCTTCCCCGATCGTACGTCTCTCTTGGCCTTGGCGCCGTTAAGCTCCGAGGCCGTCTTAGGTCGCCGACATGCTTGTTGATCTTTGTCGCCACCACCCGAGCCGAGGCGATTTTGACCCAACATCAGTGCGCAAAGAAGGGGGAAAAAAAAGAAGCAAAAAAAAAAAAAAAAGAAATCATCTGCCGAGCTGCGCATGAAAATCATGCTGCGAGGACAGCGCGCTAGATAGTAATAGATATGACGAGCTTGGACCAAGGCAGTGGCAGCGTAGCGGTATTACTACTGCAAGTTGGGGATAATTGGTGCCAAGATGGGTTAACTTGGTAAAAGACGGCGGCGTATAGCCTAACCAATGTAGGCATGTAGGTGTGAGTCCATAGAACCCCTCACAACTTAGAGGGTATTAGACAGAGGTTTCTGGTATCAACTTTTGAATAGGAATAGGCAGGCTAGCCATTTGCGGCATCATTTCGCGCCTCTAGCAAGAGTAAATCTGAGTGCCTCGTGACTACATAGCGATGTCCACGTGAATATATACATATAATGTGATGAACCAGAAATACAAGATACAAAGTAGCGAAGCGAACAATACCAAAATCATAATCTAGACGTATAAACTTTTATCCCCGCATCTAAAAAGTAGGACCATCCTGTCGATCCATTAGGAAACCGTGCGGATCGTACGCTGACTGAATGGCCATGAGTCGCGCGTGGTTCTGCTGCCCGTAGCTCTTGAGAACTGGCTGAGTATCCAATGCGTCGTTCATAAAGATGGGGTTGTAGCTAAAGAGAGCAAGCAAGTCAGTAAACTTGGCCATTCCAGGGCGGGGAAATATATATATATATAGTATGCGTACCTCAGAGTTTCCAAATCGCCGCTCTTGTAGTTTGTCGGATAGATGCCCGAATAACTTTCCACATGCAGGTCGTGGGCGTCCTGCACCATGGTCTTGATCCATTCGTTGCACTTGATGTCGCAGAGGGGGTTCGCCCAGGCCAAGTCGTACTCGATCCAGACGCGGTCGCCGTGGTCCGGGTCGACGCCGAGCGCGTTGCCGCCGTTGCGGTCCCTGGACGCCTGCGCCATGAAGCTCGGCATCGGCTGCACCGCAAACGCAAAAATCGTGAAATCGACGGGATCCCGCAGCGCCGCCTGGACCGCCCGCTTCTTGATGAGCTTCCAGTGGTCGACGAGGAAGTCGGTCATGTTGGCCACGGGCATGGCCGGGAACGCGTTGACGCCGATGCGGAAGCGCAGGCCCTTGTAGTTGCCGGCGAGAATCTCCTGGGTCAGGCTCGCAAACGTGCGCACGCCCGTGTCGTCGGTCAGCGCCCTGATGGCGAAAAAGTCGTCAAAGACGCCCGCCGGCACCGCGACGTCGTCGTAGAAGAAGGTGACGAGGATCACGGGCACGTCGAGCACGAGCACGCCCGCAAAGTCAAAGGTCGGGATGATGGCGGCCTTGGGGTCCGTATTCTCCGAGGTGAAGCGCGACACGGCCTCGAGCACGGCCGCGTGCTTGTCCTCGGTGTAGGTGCGCACGCCGCCCCAGATTTGGCCCTTGACGCCCGACTCAAAGACTTGCATCGTCGTCTTGGTCACGACGGCGTAACGGTTGCCGCCACCGCACAGTGCAAAGTAGAGGTCTGGGTTCGAGGTCGCATTGGCATGCGCAACGGTGCCGTTGGCGAGGACCGTTTCGAAGTTTATGACATTGTCGCATGCAAATCCCTGATATTTCATGTAAGAAGGCTGAATACAAATGACAAAACAGAGTATACGAGAGACCGGGGGTAGGAGAGGGAGAGAGGAAGAGAGAGAGAGAGAGAGAGAGAGGAGGAGGAGGAGAGAGAGGA